AAATTCCAATTTCGCATGTAGGCAATGTCATTACGCTTTGCTGGAATTCCAATCGCTAATTATTCACCTAAATAGCTAATTAAGCTCAAATAGCTAGCGATACTGGAACGTGGCTGCACGTGTTTATCTGATATTGGAAAATAATCTGTGCTAAATTAATGCCACTGAAACAATAGTTCGAAAGCAAGAAATTTTATTTTTAATTCTAGAGGTCAGTGATTTTATTTTCAATGGATTAAAACTAACTCCGGATTTTAAAATGCTGCCAGTTTTGTTGATATTATTGAATATTTGGTCACGTATTTTTCATTTCAGCAGATTGAAAGCAAAAAACGTTAAATTAAATTTCTTGCGTAAAAAGCACTCGCAGCTTGTTTTTCTTCCTATAACCAAACAAGTCTGATCGTTTATTTTTTGTAACGTTTGCTGATTTGAATGGTTAATGCTGATTGCGTGCTGCGCCGAAATTAGGCCCATAAAACTGTATATCTATCCTAATGACATTGGAGTCGATTGAGGTCGATTTGTGGAGTCTCTGGGGGGTAAAGCTGTCGAATTAAATCCAGAAATAATGGGAATCAGAAAAGCCCATCAAAAGTGAAGTGATGCGATTATGGCTTTCAATATTGGGAATTTGCTTTTCTTTTACTTCGGATTACATTAAACATGAGCAATAAAGTATATTCTTCTGTAATATATACAAATTATTTCAAAATCTGCTGACCCAATTCCACGTCGTTTCACCTGCTGCAGCACAGGAAGTTCAAAATATACTCTTTCTGTTTTCATTCAATCGTATAAAAGCCGTACCCAAAAAAACGCAAAAGAACCGTTTTGTTTTGAATCATTTTGAATAAGGTCTGCAGGGCGTTTTGTTTGAAATATGAATCGCTCCGGTAGCTAATAAAATGAAAGAAGGATGAGACGCGCAGTGTTTCCATTATTTTCCCTGTCGGCTGAAACATAACAATCTCACGAAAAGGAGCGAGTCTGTTAATGCTGCAAAATTGCTGAATATCTCAAAGCCGAGCCTGCTTGTTATGGAAATTTTCTTTTGCATCTCTCTCCCTTTTTATATATTGAGCAACTCCTTGTTTAAAGGTGCACAATAGGGGAAAAAATTATTAAACTCTCAGAAACTCCCAACGCAATATAAATCGCGAGGGAGATGAAATAGCCTAATGTAGCAATTTAAAAAGCTTTTTGGAAAATATGCTTGTGAAAAATTAAAATCAGCTCTAGCACTTATATTAACAATTAATATTTTTATGGGCGGAAAAGGGAAAAATTTTCATGGAAAAATTTGTAACATTTTGGATTTTGAGGAATCTTTTATTACAAATTAATGTGATCATTTCAGTTTCATTTAGAACTTTCCCGGTAAAAACATTACCATTTGTTACTTTATAATGTGAAAAAATTGTAAATCAAAATATCCATAATGTTCATGCCCGGAAAAGTTATCGGCGCTATTGGCAATAATGGCCGGAATAAAGCCTTTGATATGTTCAAATTTAGGGTGCTTTGTTCGGGAACAATACTGCATTAATACAGCAAAAGTTTGATGGTCCGAACTGTTGCGCGTTATCTATAGTCGTGCCAATTTCGACATACAAGGCCACAACAAATAAGGCAAAATGGCCGCTCATTAGGCCACGATCCGTTGCACCCCTTCACAGAGAGTGGCTTTAACCGTCCGGTAATTGATATTACCAACTGCTGCTTCTTGTTACAGTGGCTAGGTGTGCCGCTCATTGTTTTTTTTTGTCATGCTCTGTACCTTAGCATCTCGGCGCGGCCGATGCTTGATCGATTATTAAAGCCACCCATGTGTAATAATGACTCTGACTGTTAGCTGGTCCATTATGAGCCAGCATCATATGAAGCGGATTGGTTGGGCGAACAAAAAAGCCCACGCGCCTCGGATTCGGGATTTTATATTCGGCGTCCATTAGCGAAATGGTCGGACCAGGAAATAAAAGGGGTGTGCTTTTTTAAACCTTGTGTGAAAGAAGATTATTTTATTCAAAAATATTTTAATCTTGTTAATCGTGATTAAATATCTCCATTTTGACATGACTGAATTTTTCTTCATAGTGATGAATTTGAAAAAAATTTCCCTAAATAAAAAATAATCATGTTTTTCTGGGTTATACAAAATATTAAAATACCTCAATTTTAAAGTAATATTATATTTTTCTTTTCAGCAACAAATGATGAAATAATTTTTTAGTTCAAAAGAATTGGGTAAAATTATTAGCCCAATAATGTTTTGCTGGCCAAGCTTTGCAAATAAATTCTAGTAAAATATATAAAGTAATGAGGCAAAAGTCATTCTGACATTCCACTTGATCCATTTGTCAAAGTCCTCTGCACCCCTATATATCCGCGGCATAACAAGCAAACGCTGCTGATAAGGACCTCGATCCTTTGAATTCGATAACAATAATCCACCGCACGGCACGCTCCCCAATATATTAACCGCACTCATGTGCATTTGCAAGTCAATTATTCATTGATTCAATAAGGCTCGTCGCACCATTGGCAAATTAGTCTCGTGCGGTTTGCCAATCCCATTTTCCCGTTGAGATGACGTGCGCCAGAGATGTCATTTGTCTCGCTTGCACACACAAGTGGAGCAACAATGCACTCTCTACCTAGTGCATGACGCTTGCACTCACTTGTATGCGTACTTGGCAGAGTGCAATTGCAATTTATAGGTGCTCGCTCAATTGCACTTTGACATTAATTAGAAGAGAGAACTCGGATTGAAAAAATTTAGTCCGAAGATAAATATTTGCAAAAACGTATTGTTTTCCGTTCACCCCCCCCCCCCCTCCCCAAGGATTAAAAAATAAGTGTAAATGGAAGCAAAGGAAATTAATTTTGTTATTTTTAACATCAGATAATTTCAGGCCTCATGTATAAATGATATCCATAAAAAATACATTATTTATTGACTTTAATTGCTCAATCATGTGTTTTTCTCTTTTAAAACCTCTTTTAGTGGTTTATTCGTCCTATGCTATTTATAAATTGATTTTTAAAAGTTTGAACAAAAATTGTCTAGAATATTTTTGGTAAATAGAAATTGTTCTTATGTAACAAAAATTGGTATTTGAATTTAAAAAAAAAATTTAAGTTTTCTTATCATCAAAATAATTCACGAGCTAATTACAACCGCATTTGAAACGTGAAAGCTGGTGAAAAGCAGCTTTAGGATTTTTACTGTTCTCCCTGAAACAATTTACGACTAAAAGCCAGCGAGGTAATTCTGGCTTTCAATAAAATTCATAATAATTTAACCAATTAAATATACAGAGAGGGGGAAAACGATTATAAACTCTCACATTATACACCTGTAATGAAGCGAAAATAAACATCTCCCTTCTAATTATGAGCCATTAACGATCGGTGAATTAGAGGGGCAAATATGCAAAAATAACAATTACAACGGCAACATGTTAATTTTGTTCAAAGGCAAATTAACCTTTTTGCATTATTTATTTGCGGAGTAATTGTATTTAATTAATTAATGTTAATTTTTTTAGATCAAAATAATTATGTAGATTAGCCGTTGTATTCCTAGCTGTTTTTTTTTAAAATATAGATCTATTTTGAGGACCATATAGTTTTATTTATTTTATATTTTTGCTCATTTCAATCAATTTTCCTCATTGAGCTTTTAATTTAAAATTTCATAGCCAAAGTATAAATCATCTGCCTGAAATCAAATCACTTTAAAAATTAATTTTTAATTAATTTAAAATATTTAAATACATAAGATTTAAAAAAAATCATTTATTTGAATAAACTTTGTTCAACCGTCAGACTTATGCTCGAATTTCTTATTGTTAGTCTTACTAAAATTGCATCCTCCACTTGTTACATTTTGCCTGAATGACAATGAAAAATTGCTTCAATCTCGCTGCAGAAACAATTAAACTCAACTTGTTTGCCGCAATAAAACCAAGATTTGGCGCAAAACAACTTTCTCTTCTCCGCGCGGAGATGCATCAGCGAAAATGACGCAGACAATTTGGAGCCGTGCCAGGGAAATAAAGCAGTCGACGCTGTCAAGACATTTTACATAAAGAAAAGCATTTTTGAGCGCGCCGAAAGGCCGGGTTGTAGCATTGGAGCGTTGCCCGCATCAGAAAGCCGAAATCAATTGGTTAATTGGGCATTAATTATTTAGATGCTTGGAATTAACATACAATATGGCTGCCACAGAGAACAACCCCGGCCAGGTCACCGACGGCTTATCTCGCAATCAGCCGAGTCTCTAGACTTAATGTCGGTGGATCCTGGAATCAAGCTCGGGTAACAACGAGAGGGCTTAACGCGAATGTGCTGTCCGTCGGAAGGAATCGTTAATCCCCCTAATCCCCGCGAAGGGTGCCCTTTTTGAGAGGTACGTACGGAGCTGGCCGGTAATAATTGGTAATCTATAAAACCCCTAACGTAACTAATAAAATTTTGTATCAGTAAAGCCTGCACATGTTCAATGAAATTTTATTAAAATTAGATTTTGGTACAAAATAAATAATCATTCCTCAATTTCAATTGTTTACTTGGTTACAAGTAGTATTGATAATAGAAGTTTTGAAATATTTTATTTTTTAGATCAAATAACGCTACTAAATAAATTAGCTTTTTATTTTAATATTCCACTTTTAAGTAAAAAGTTCAGCAACCACAAATAAAGTTATTTTATCAAACATTTACATTTTCTAATTAAAAACTCTGTTCCATTCCCTTGTGACCTTCTATGCGTAAAATGATTAAAAATGAACATAAAAAACATAAAAAATAGTAGAGTGTCCGATTCGTGAATAATTCATTTGAAATATCCCGCACTTCATTAAAATTACATTATGGTCAAATTGCGAACGAAATTCCCTTGTGTCCATTTCCATGGAGGATTTTGGAAATTTTTACACTTTCTGTAGAATTTTTCACTCAAATTTCTGCAAAACATTCACAAGTTCAAAATTTACTTAGTCTGTTTTTCGTGAAGATGCGTAATGAAGCTTCTTCAAAGGCGGCACAACAACCCAAAAAAATGTAATCGTCGCAAAACAAAGAACCGCGGCCACTAATTACGTCAGCGCGTGTGAACCGTCGCGAATTCACTTTTAGGCTGCGGTGTGTCGGACAAAGAAGCGGGAGCGAGAGGCGCTGCTGGTACTCACTTGAGTGCGCGAGATTGAGTGCGTTTGCAAGGGTGTCTCGGTGGGAAGGCGAGGGCTCTCCTCTCAGCAGCAGAGTGTGCCGCGGCCGCCGCCTCCGACTCTTTTATACACCTCGACGCAGCATCCCCCGCCTGCCGGTCGCTGCGCCTGCACCGATCAATCGGCGAATAAAATCGCTCCCTCTAATTAATGCAATTTTTTGCAGCCACGCTCGTCCGAAAGGAAGCACCGTCCAGCTGCATATTACGCCAGTTGACGCTAAATTGTTTTTCTCACTCCCCGTTTGTTTCATTATATCCAATTATATCTTTTGTTGTTATGCTAAAAAGTAGGTCAAACTGCTGCACGTTGTTTGTTGTTTTATTGCATTTTGATATATTACGTGCGTATTTAGAGGAGAAATTCATTTCAAATTATTTTCGTGGTCTAGAGCTAATCCCAATAATTTAATTTGAGAGGAAGCTCTCTGAAAATTATGGAACTTTTTACATTATAAATTGTAAATAAATTATTGCTTTCAGCTGCATTAAATTGTTTTATAATCAATCATAAAGGGTTGTAGATATATTTACGTATAAAACCCAATAAACATTTCATGAAACTAGAAGAAAATTTAATATTTAATTTTTATAATGAAGTCTAGAAGTTTGAAGAATATTAAAATGAATCAAAATAAAAAACTTTTGAAAATTGCAAAATGTAAACACTCATTTTTGATTTGACAATAATATGCCGGTAAAAATATACTTCTTCAGGAAAATGTCAGATTTCCTTCTGTTTGGAAATCATAAAATAGTATGCGGAGGAAATACAAAAGCACGAAGTTACGTGAGAATATTAGCAATAAGAGAAGTTCTAAATAAATGCAGCCTAAAAGAAAATCTGATTCAATTTACTTAATTAATTAGTGAATATTTTAATAAACACAATTTGCAACTATTTTATTTACTGAGGTTGTTGTCGTTTATTTTTAAAAATTTTGTTTTTCTTCCGTGAAATTTTACCCTATGTGGCAGTTTTCTTTTCTCTTATAATGTAAAGACCATTATTTTTGGGCAGTATTTTAAAGTGAAGTGACCATTCCTCTCCCTCTTTTTGCTAATGGCATCAGCGACCATCGTGCTTTGGAGATGCTCTCTGGATGTTTGTTCTTTGCCATTTCTTCACCACTTCCTGCCCATTTTAACTGTTTATGATGTAAAAAAGGCCACACTAAAATAATTTTAATTATCATAATAAAGCGAATTTATTTTTAGTGCTACATCATTTGGCATTGGCTGGATTGCTAATTTTAGTTGAAATTTCTCTTAAAATGATTACATTGGAAATATCTTCAAATTACATATTATATTATTCTTCCAAGTATTTGAATAATAGAGAGTATAAAATTTTGGTTGTCAATGGTGGCTTTCAGCAAAAAACCTCAAATTAAGTCCATCATTAAAATAAAAAATTAAAATCTCCCAAAAATGCTAGCGAATTTTCTAAACTTGTTAGTAGCTTTTAGTTAATTTTAAAACATGATGGAGTTTAAAGCAGTCTCAAATTTTGACGAAATCAATGCCAAGGGGAGACATATTGATGCAGACTCCATTTCTACACTAATTCATGCTTGGTGCGCACGCTCTTGAAAGTTAGTCGGTGATATTCTGTCGATCTGTGTGTTTGTTGACGCTGTTGATGAGCTTGGGGAGGAGAGAAATCTCTCTCTTTCAATTGAAATGAAACCGCGCGCCAGCGATTTTTTACTCGACTTGCTCTCAACCAGCACACGATTTCGTCCTCTTTTTCATTCTTTACAAGGCAAAACCGAATCTCAACAAAAAAAGCACGCGATTTTTGAATGGGAACTTTTTGCGCCTTCGAGAGTGCACGGTGTTTTTTTTTACACGAACAGCCCAACGCACCAATCAATTTTTGTGCTCGTTTGACGTTCCGTCACCATATCTGCGTTTTTCCAAAAGGTAAAATAGGACTGGCACAAGCGTGCGTGCGAAACACTATCGATTTGCGTTTTCCGTGTTTTTTGTTTTGGTTTTATTTCTATTTATTCCATACTGTGTAGTGTGTGCTTTTACCAAATTGCGATACACGCCTGGTAAAATTTGCTTTCATAAAAAAAGTTTATCCAACGTTTTTTTTTTTTTTTAATTAACGTTGCTTTACTCTCACTTTTCTAGTTACAAAAGTGGACGTTTTAAAGAGAAAATTGATGTATTTTGTATTCTGTCAACGTTTGGTTTGCAGGCTTATTGCAAAAGTATTGGAGCGCAGTGGAAGGAGAATAGTCGTAGTCAAGCTATTTATGGCCAGATATCGTCAGACTGCTTTTATATTGGTGAAAATTTACCTCAATTTATAGATGGAATAATTTAAGTAATTTTTAATTTACAGACAATTTCATCTTCTGTACCTGAATAAAATTAAAATCAACTCAGGGCATATCATTGAAGTTAAAAAAAAATCCTAGGAAAATATTATATTATCTTTTTTTAATTCACTGGACAGACAAATAAATCTTTCCACTGAAAATTAATAAAAAAAAATCCAATTTTATCATCACGTCCGTTTCACATTTAATTCACGATCATATTATTAAGCCTCTACTAAAAGATTATTGGACTTGAAGGACTCTAAAAAAAAATCAGCTGTATATTTTTGCTGTTGTTTACAAATGCAAATTGATGCAAATTTGTGTCTATTAAATTTATTGGAATGGATGTAAGTCGGGTAGTTTCAGGTAAGTCATTAATATTATAAGTAATTTTCCCCTTGTTGAGCGCAGGTTGAAAGGTACTTGAAGTTAAATTGAATTTTATTGCTGCTTGTTGCCAACCAGCGAATCCATTCATTCTGCAGTAATGAATTGTTTGTGCAAACCAGCAGCACCACCAACCCTTTTGCAATCTGCAAGGCAGCAGCCGGTCTGAAAATTGATTCGACGCAATCGTGCAGGTTGAGAGTCGAACAGGAAGTTCAAGTGATTGCTCGCTTGGACTTTCATTTCACTGCCCCTTTTCCGGGTATAAATTAATCAAGCTGCGAAATTGCGATTCAAATTCCCTTGGCGCACCAGAGTTTTGTGATTAATTTAACTGTTCTTATTCAAATATTTACGTCATTAATATTTTACCAAAGAATCTATTTCATAAATCGCAAATTCTCTTAGCACAACAGTTAGCTCAATTTTTGAAATAAGTTACGTAATCGAATTTCCTAAACTTTTTTGATCTCAATATTTTGAGCACAGAAGTCGGAGTTGCTTCCTTTCGCCACCCACATCAATAAAAGCTGCGCATCAAATAATAATGCTGCTTCTTTTTGGCAAACTTTTGCTTGCCCAGTATCGAACGGTTCGCAGCAGAGACATCGCAACCTCCATTTCAAAATAGGGGTCATATTTTTCATTGATGCATTTTAATATATAAATAGGTCGCGCTGGTTTGGAATACAATGAGCTTTTAACATTGATTCCATTTAATTTTATTAGATTTCATTTCGTCAATTTATATATTTTTTTAAAATTATTTGTGAAAATTTATTGATGATGCTAAATTTAGATCAAGCTTTGAATAAAATGCTGTTCATTAAGTGGTCCCAAGACTTGCCAAATTCATTAAATTATTAGTGCTGCAGGAATCAGATATTTTAGTTTATAAAAGTTTTAGTTGATCTTCATAACACCTTGAAACACAACTCAAGCAAAACCACTGAAAGCAAAGTTTAATCAAAGCTTAACTTGTAAATGTTCTAAACAGCTTATGTTGATTCATCCGAAGATCTTCCTCAATATCGAGAAATCCTGGAGATGGTGTATTAAGTGTTGCTCTCCAATGTTTTTCCAGCCGGAACTTATCTGGCAAATCCTTCGTGGCACATTGGTGGGTTTGAGTCCCAACAGTTCGTTCCGAACCACCGCTTTCGGGACTGATGGAAATCAATTTTGAAAGCGCTCTCCGCGCGTTGCCGACGCCAATCAGCCCAAAGTAGGGAGGAAAGCGGCAGCCGCGTGGCGATTGCCGCCGGCAGAGAAATGCATATACCCTTTCTTTGATCTGATGTTTGTCGTTCGCAGTCGATGTGCAAATAGAGATGCAAAAGCCAATGGCGCTGAGCTGCTGGGGAAAGATCTAGGCTGCTACTTGGCCAATGTTCGATGGATTCGTCGTGTCTGCCAGAGATGATGATGATATGCTCTCTTAGCTCAGGGCGGCCTCTTGTCAAAATATATACACACATAATGCCGCACCAAGATACTACTACATTTCCACAAATCGAATTACGTGACTCCATTTCTGCTCGGCGGAAAAGAAAAGTGGGAGCCCCAGGGGACGAATTTGAATTCTTCCTCCCTTTCAGCAGTGACGACGTGCAATTTCTTTCCCACCGTCGGTTTTAATGAATTCTCTCTCTCTTTCTCCCCGGCGGACGAGATAAAAAAGAGCCCGGATTTTCGCTCAGCAGACGTGTAGCGACAATTTTTCGCCACTGTTTGCTCTCCGCGTGTGCAAATTCAAATTGGATATGGTTTATTTTGCCTGTACAAACCGGCTTACATTCGAAAGCGAGCTTTTAAATTGCCAGACGTGTCAAACATTTAATAAAAAGGCATTTTTTAGTAGCCGCTCTTTTGAAACAAACGTGAGGAAGAGTTTTTTATAGTAAAATTCTGCCAGTGAGCGCAATTCAAAAAGTGGTCGCTTTGTCTTTTAAACAAGTTCAAAAAGAATTTTCTATACGTTAAAACTTACATCTTTTGTAATCATTGGCAATTAAAAATGGAAATACGATTTCTAATTGAAAGGAAACTTATGTAAAAGTAGCCTCCAGATAGTATCAAGCATCGAGCAAATTAAATATTATTTCATATTTTGTGCAAAATTATAATTTCCGAAAGAAAAACTGGCTTCAATGCAAAAATAAATTTTACTATT